CTCCTGGGCTCAAGCGAGTCTCCTGCCTCCGCCTCCCAAGTAGCTGGGACCACAGGCGCCCGCCACAACGCCCGGCTATTTTTTGGTTGCAGCGTCATTGTTGTTTGGTGGGTCTGGGCTGGGGATTCGAACCCACCACCTTAGGTGTACGTGGCTGGCGCCTTAGCCGGTTGAGCTATAGGTGCCGAGCCAACATTCATGATTTTTAGCAAGATTTTGTCAAACACGTGCCATGGTCAAGGCAATGTGGGAGACCAGAGAGATACAGTACATCGTAAGTGCTTTCAAAGAGCTTACTGTTTAAATGGTAGAGAGTCGATCCTACATGAAAGGGCAGCCTCATAAGATACATATGAATTACGTCTGTCCTTAGGCATTTAAACCTGTCACAAATATGTGGGTGTTGTAAAAAGTTGATCATGGGATAAAAAGTATGACTGTTGTGCACTGCAACTGGTAGGGGATACTTCATGAAGGAGGTAGCAGTGGATTAAACAGTGGAAATAGGGTAGGATTTTGAAGGGGAAGGAAAAGTAGTAGGCTTGCGATTAGGAAAGGGTATAAATAGACTCTAAGCTTGGTGTTCCTTGAGTCTCAACTGGCTAGAGTTAGGGAGGCCTATGTTTGGAAACCTGGGCCTGATTGTCCAGGACCTTGAGGTTCAGGCCAGTAGGATTTTGGGGGGCAGAGGGTGATGTATATCATGAGTATTACTCTGACAATCGTGAACATTGTGGATTGAGTGAGAAGGAGCCTCCGTTCAAGGCTGGTGGAGTAGGGTAGATGTGATGTGATTAATGCCTGAACTGGAGTGATTGGAATGGAGAAGGATAGGTATAAGAAATGTAGGGAAGAATGCATGGGACTTCGGTTTGAAAGGAGAGGAAGGGGAGTTAGAATGTTTTAGGTAATAATGGGTTTGTTGCTAGAACTTGGAAAGTGCAGTCAAGAAGGTGGTAAGAACGTGCATTTTAGACTCTGAACTTGGGTGCTATGGGATACTCGAGTGGAATGTCCCGTGGACAAGTGGAAGCATGTAGCACAGGTCCAGGAGAGAAAGGAGAAGTGAGAGCAGTGTTAGAGCAGTGATGGTCAGTTAGATCACTGACAGGGAAAAAAAGGAAGCACTGGGGTCTGAGCTTCAGGGAGTGTCCATAGCCACAGGGCAGGAGCAGAAAGAGGAGCCAGTTCTGAAGGGGCAGATAGGGTGTGGCTGTTGCTCAGGAAGCCACAGGAGAGCGAGTGTGTCCAGAAGAAGAGCTCCCTACAGAGAGGTTGAAGACAGTGAGGGCTGGAGGAGCACTGAGTTCTCAGTTTGACAGGGACCTTCTACTGTGCCCTGCAGGGAAGACTGACAGCACCTTGGGATAATGCCTTTTATGGAAGAGGGTCAGAGTCTGTGCGTGGAGCTGGCTGGGTTCTCTTGAACCCACCCCTTGGGACCATAGATCTTATGGGAGCTGAGGGCAGGGCTTGTCTCACTCAGCCTTCTTTCCTCCCTCAGCTCAATTTGTTTCCCCGGTTCCTGTTCTTCCCCAAGCTGGGAACTCTGGAGACCAAGCAGGAACAACTGTGCTTCGGATGGTCAGGTGCCAGGTGAGCTTGGTTCTTTGTGTTTTTCCTAAGTTCCCTTGTCTGTGGCCCAAGAATGGCCAGAGGTGTCAGCTCCAGGACCCTGCCTCATCTGAGACTGTGCCTGTGTCTCTCCTGCCAATTGCTTTCCCCGGGACGGGGTCCCTTCTGCTGAGTTAATGGACTCTGTCTTGCACTGGACTTGTCCTTTGGAAATGTCTTCCCAGCTCCTGTGTCCCATTCCTTTTCCCATCAAGATCCTGTAGCCTGTGCCCTCTGTACCCCCCGACTCTGCCTTCAGGCTGGGAAGGTTCCTGAGCAACAGAAGCTTGTCATTCCAGGACGCTGTGGCATGTGAGGACCTGTCTGTGGACGACACTGAGCAGAAGTGGAAAGGTCTGACATTCAGTCAGAGCACCCCATACTGGAACGTGATGCTGGAAAATTGCCACAGCTCGGCCTTGTTGGGTAACGATTCTGTTCCTCCGTAACTAAGACTCTGTATTCAGTAGATTTTCTTCATTATATGCCTTATCTTTTCTAATGTTTTATTAGGAAAATTTCCAAACGTAGATAAACTATAGTCAATAGTGTAGTGAACCTCTCTTTATCATCACTCAGCTTTACAAGGGTCAGCATTCTCTTTACTTCATTATTGATTGACAGAGGTGGTGGTTTAGTTGGGGTTTTTGTAGTTCTAAGGAATGGAGGGACCCTCAAGTTATTGTAAATATGGAGCTATGTGTTGTAAGGGTTAAAGGAATGGGAGCCTTTCCAATCAGCCAGACCACCCTGTGGAAAACAGGGACTTGTGGAGAATGGCCCTGACCCACAGAAAAGGCAAACAAATTTCTATGCCCGTGTTCTGGAGTTAATATAGTGCAGCTGCTCGCAGCATATTAGTTTTGTCTCTGCTCATCCTGCTGCTGGTACCCATTTTATTCACTCTGGGAATCTTCTGTCCCTCTCTTAACTCCTTAGTTCACCTCTCTGTTTCCTTACAGTTATGGTTTGCTGTGGTTCCCAAGGGCTTGACTCTTATCCATGCATCATTTTAGCTTCCATTCCTACTCATAATTGCTTAAATTTTGCCTTACTACGAGTTCCACACTTACTCAGAGAAGGATTCTGGTTGCTACAGCCATTGAATATCTTCTCTATTTGGACAGAGCTTTGGCCCAGGCCACAGCACAAGCTTATAAGTAACCTACAGCTTCCCTCAGGTCTAGTGCCTGGCCCTAGTCCAGTCACCCATGGTCCATCCTGGGATGCTTAGGATGACTTAACACAAAGCATGGTTGCCTAAGCATTTCTCTCATTAAAGACTGAGGCAATTCCCTAGAAGGTTTATTGTCAGGGCAGGTTCTGTGATTGACAAGTTTAGGACAATAGCCAACTCTGGAGAGGGTTACGCTACTGACCCAGACCATTTTTGACTTTCTGCAGGCTAAGTAGCATGATAGCTGTTACTCTAATTA